GTGAAATGTTTATAACCTCCAGATAATTATCAAATGTTTTTTAAAAAAAACAACTATATTTTATCTGTTATTTTCACTACTTTATCTCTGTATGGGTTTGGTTGATTTGACAGACCTTGTAACCACCATAAATAATTAGGAAATACATATATAAGTTTTTTTTGTTCTAGAATGACTACAAATTATAACATGAAAACAGAAATGTTTAATCTAAAAACTTAAATCTCATAAAATTATACATCTATATATACATATATATATATATTTATTATCTTTATGTTATTGACCTTTCAGCTGTGTCTAACTAACATTACAAAAGTTGCAATGACATGGTGAATGTGCACTCATGTTACTGTATCCAAGAATATAAAACTGGCCTTTACAAAGTGACCTGTCTTGGGTGTGTTTTAGTGGACTAATATTTTGTAAAATGCAGTCACATTTCAGTTATATAAGTATAAACATTATTACTATTTACAAATGAGTTCTTAAACTTATTTTTGTTAAAACACAGAACAGTAAATAAAGAAGTATAGAAAACAAACATCTCTTCTTGTTACAAACTTTGTACTCGTTTGCTGCTTACCATAGGTTGCTAAGCCTTATCAAATTTTGAAAGTGGAGGATGTGAACCAAAATAATTTTTTTTAGGTTTTATATAAACATTTGAAATAACCAAAAATCATAAATTACTATATCAGTACCACAGAATTCCACTATAATTTATCAAGCTTAATAACTAAGCTGCATTTGGGTCTAAAAAAATATAAAATTTTGAGCTCGCTAAGTTCTTACCTAACCGCTTGTAATCTATCATCAGAGGAACGAGTTTGCCACCCAAATACTTCAAAGAGGCTGAGAAAGCCACTAGGGGGACATTTTGAGCTTTCTATTGGTTATTTGCTCATCATATACAGAAGTAGGTGTGGGAAATCTATCCAAAAATGGACAGAGGTGGGCAGGGCCACTGTATTTGATTCAATAAATGTAGTGATATCTCAGCAAATAGAAAAGATGGGAGGTTCTTATTTTATGTTCTAGCTTGTCAGTATCAGTAAATTAAGTTCTTAATTTGTAAGAAACTATTGACTTTGTATCTGGACATCACAAAGATTTAATTTGAACCAATACTGCATTCAACATACCAACATTGACTGACCTCGTATTGAAAGAGTTAACCATGTTTCAGTTATTCCTATTGTATCAAAATCTTCCATTCCTACCAGTGCCCTAAAGTCATCTGTTTTATTTCTTATACTTCTAGCATTACTATAGTAACAATTAAGCCTATCCTTAGAACTACTTCTATACTCATTTCCTATGCTAAACTTTTTCTACATCTTATTTGTTTTTGCATTTAGTTTATCCTGGCCCTCACCACTTTCTAGTCCTATTCCATACAGCTGAATTAATAGCCCTTGCAAACCAGCCAAACCCTACCCTATTTAACTGTAAACCATTCATTCCAATAAGCTCCTTTCTTCTATTAAACTGACTCCACAAGTTCAACCAGCCTATCTGCTCATCATTACATATTAACCTCAGCCTAGCATTTAACGTTAGTGACTTACTCATAATTTTATCCCCACAGTTAATTTTTGGCACTATCCTTGACACATTTAAGTTATGGCCTTTTCTTTAAATGCCTTTATCAACCCCTTGTACTTATCAATTAGCTCCTTTGACCTACCTTTCTCTACATCATTAACCCCTATATGCACAACAAAAACTGCATGAATTTTAGCCCCCTTTATTATATCTCCAGCTCTGTCAGTTATATCCTCCACCTGTGCCCCTGGGTAGCATAATCTACATCTTTTCTCCATATTTATTCCACATTAAAATTAAATCCAATATTTTTAGTTTTAGCCCTAATAGTGCTCCTTCTAACTTCCTGAAAGTCATTGTTAGCTGATGTATTCCTTGCATGTAAAAACATAATCTCCTCCTGAAATCCTGCTGCCATTTCCCACAGTTTACCCTTCTCTTAAACTTGTTCCCTTTTTTGAAACAAGTGTTTTGGTTTACTTGTGCTCACTTTATTCAGTAAAAGTATGTAATTCATCTTGCTTAGTTCAGCTCCTGTATACATTGTTATAAAAAGTGTTGTTGGAACCTTTACTTCCTATTTTATATTTAATGATATTTTAAAGATTAGTGTATTCATCAGTGTAGTTTTATTTGTTGAAAGAATACACTTTGTGTTGTTTAGTTTCAATGATGTCATTTGTTTTTATTAAATCCCATTTTAAAACAGTAAACATTTAACTTGCTAATTTTTTTAATGCGGCCACCTACAGACAGAAGTTGAGAATATATTGCAAACTCATCTTCAATCTTTTGTTTAAACAATATGTATTTTGTAGTTATAGTTAAGTTGTAACAAGAGTTTCTCTAGATGTAGACTACATTTTTTCTAGATATGATTCAAATTCTGGTGGTGAAAGAGAAATTCAGAGAACTATGCTGGAACTTCTGAATCAGCTGGATGGATTTGATTCTCGAGGGGATGTTAAGGTTAGTGACTATGTCATGATTTTATATAACAACAGATATGTAGAGTTAAGTGTTATGTTACTCATTTGGTTGACAGTAAATTTCAAAGATTGAGTACATTAGTTATATTCAATCAATGAAAAATACATTCTTTTGCATTTGAATTATTGGAAGAATATTTCTTTAAATCCACTTCAAACTGCCTTCAAACCTTGGGCCTTCTGATCTACTGCCTGACACTAACAACTAGGCCACACCCTTATTCATATGATTTTTGGGACTTTGTTTAAGTTTGGTATATATTTAACAACAAAAAAAAGGAAAATTGGACTGTTCAATTACATCTGCTTTATAATAATAATGTAATAATAACTTTTAACTTATTTTTAGTTGTTTTCACATGGAGGGTTATTGCAGGGTTACTGGACACTTATTTTCCAATCCCATGAGCACCTTTATTTGTTAACTGTTGTTTGCCTTCTGTATTTCTTATTGACATTGAGGGGAAAGGGACACAGAAGTCTGACCATAGTTTATCAGATTTTTTATATTGGTTGGAAGATCTGCGGTGTCATTTGATAGCTGTGAATGAACAATAATAATTATGATAGATTTATCTGTCTATTTCATGTGGTAGAGATAAAAAAAACCCAAAGCATATATCAATACTTTCATAATTAGTGATGTAGTTATATGGTTCTCTTTACTGTGGTACGTGATGCTTCTCTCCGAGTGGTTCTAAGACTGTCTTTCAGTGAAAGACAATTCTTTTGTTTCTCTTGTGTTAGTGTGAAATCTGTATGTATTGAACAGATAGCTAGAGGGATATATTTGGATGCTGTTAAGTTTTTATTTTAACTGTTATTTATTTATTGTAAGTACATAACACTTTAATACTAGAAATAATGACCTTATAACACCAAATTTGTTATTTTTCTTTAATTGGACACTTAATGTTTCACTTTACAGCTTCTTCAGGAGTGTTCCACTAAAACATAAACCATTATTGGCAGTATGAAACTTCAAATGGAATACAAAATAAATTCTAATCAAAGCTATAGTGTACATTTCTACAGCATGCATTTTACATATTAAGTAGTAAAGCTTTTTGTTGAAAAAAATTGTATAGTTGAAATAATTAACCTTTACCTATAGTAAACAAATGTCCTATCAAAGTTACAGATTTAAATAACAAAAGATAAGATGAAAAATTAAAATAGTTATAATTATAGGCACCATCCTTTGTCTCTATTCATTTGGTATTTATTTTTAGTATTAATGTCTTTTATACACCAATATATACTACAGAAATTAAATATAAATACATAAGACTGTCTGAATTAGTAATATTGTGTCCTTTAATAAGAGATCTTTTTTTATATTATTATTTGTTGATGGTTGTCTGTCATAATTGAGTATCACAACCAAATATTTCCATTTATTTTGCCTCATCTGGCCATCCATAGACCTGATTATGGTTGCATAGTCCTTGTTTTTACTCTGAACTACTTTCATGCTCTGGTCACTGCAAAGTAGCAGGAGGTTGATACTTATCAGTGTAGTTTCCTTCAGCCTCTTGAATTTGCCTTGATACAAATGCAGCAGTAAATATACATGTTAATAACTGCCAGCATCCACTACCTTTTACCATAAAAATTTCAACTTTGGCTATAGTTCGGTTTCTGGACCCCCCCCCCTTTCACTGCAGATCGTGGAACCTGTACAGCTAAGGAATACATGTTTACTGAATTCAAACATTTTGTCTCACTTTTTGTGTACAAAACCTGTTATGTTGTAAGCTGAACATGAAATTGAAGAAAAAAAAAGTAATGGCACTGAAGATCCCCGAGATAAATCTACACATTTCAGAGCACACCTATATCTCGGTAAAAAAAATCCTAACCTCAAACAAATTTTGTGTACTTCATTTTTTGTATGTTGCATCTTCAATGCCAAACTAAAATTACATGCATAAGTTACTGTAATGTCCATATAAAGTGCTAATTATTTGAGGTGAAAGTGTAAAATTGATAAATGTCCTATAATATTTATTAACCAAATATGCACAGGGTCGATCCATTTGATTGAACCAGTATTGGAGGAGGGATATTGTAATTACGAAATTACTATGTGTATCTGCATGAAATGTGACAAACATGTAATAAAATGTTCAAGTCTGTTGTACACAAAAAGTTAGATGTGTTACAAAAGTATTTGTACTCAAGACATGTCTGATTCTGACAAGTTGAAGTATAAGGAGATGTTCATGTAATAAATCAAAATACTTTTGTTCATTGTACAGTTTGCTTATTGCATTTACATAACCTCGAGAACCTCTGAACTGCATATAAACAGTTTTTTCGGTATCTCTGAAGCTGGTATTTTCTCTCCTTTACCATAGACTGTCACTAAATCAGCAACATAGGGTAAAATGAATGGTCGATAATTCTGACATCAAATGCATAATGCCATGCTGAATGGCACTGTAAGTCATGGCATGTGCACTTTGATCAAACCAAGTAGTATTGTGTAGTATTCATAATTTTTTTTATATATGTATATAGGTTTGGTTATGATCATGAATCTGTCATACATCAAATACACTACATATATTTAGATATACATATCTTTGAAGATCTAATTTTATTGCATTATAGTTTCATCGTGAAAAACAAAAGCAGCAATACTGGTCTTAATTAATGTTAATACATGTGTTAAATTAGCATGGAATAAATGAAACATATTTTGAAACTGGTCAGTGGTTTTGATAGAAATTAAATTTACATCTTGAAAAGGCATATTTTGTACTATATCGCCCTCTGTAAAAATTATAAATTTCTGTGATTAATATAACTAAAACATCAAATTATTTTTCAAATATTTTATAAGTTTAAAAATAAATCCTTTTCTGCTTTATCTTTGCTCATGTTTTTGAAGTTTTTATCACACTAATACTAACCATAATTTTGAAAAATACATTCCTAATAAGCACAAATAGTTCTCATGCTGTAATAATAAGTTTAAAATATTTATTTAGAAACAAACTGGTCTTGAAAACCAATACTATTTTGTTGATAAGTTTATAATTGAGGCTTTGGTAAGGTGAAGATTATTCATACCTTTGAAAAATTAGGTTTGTTTTTTCCCTATCTGTTCCTAGATAGTTTTACACTACAAACAGAATTTTTAGAAAATGGCATCACATAGTTTTAAACACTTAATCTAATAAGTGCAAGTTTAAATCTTGCAAGTATATCCCTGAACATGTAACTTGTTCATTGAAATTGGTGTCAAACATGAACGTTTTAAAATTTACTAAAATGATAAAAGGCCTTGCCTTTATTGTTAGAGCTTTCATACTATTAAGTATGACTTTTTGGACAAAGTGAAATTGTTAAAAATCTTTTAGTGCTTTTCAAACGCATGTTTAGCAAAAGAAACTTGCTTTAGTTGACAGACATCAAATGGTCAGAGGGTATTATGGATTTTTTTTCAAGAAATATAAGTAATACAAAAATCACCAACCAAAAAATGAATTTTCCTATAGTATTCGTTTTATATTGTATAAAGAAGAATTAAGCATTTTTTATAAGCTTTCATTCTAAAATATGTGTAAAGAAATATATTTTAAGTACTGCAAGTATAGTTGATTCTATGGGGAATTTTACCTATGTAATCAGATAATTTCTTTGAAATTACACAAAGCCTAAAAAGTTAAAACAGCTCAAAATAACATTGCGAGATGGTTCTTAATTCTGTTTCTAAATATTCTGGTTTATGCAATAGTTGAAACTGCTTTCATGGTTAATTAAAACCTAAAATACCATTTATTTCCAATTAAATATTAACTTAATTGAATAAGTAGAGTTGTTTAAACATTTGTTTAACAACATTCCAAGCTTGGAATGTTGTTAAACAAATGTTTAAA